TGGAACGGAGCTTCCTGGAGCTCAGCGGTGCTGAGCGCGAAAGGCCGAGGCACTTTCGGGAATTCACAGTGTGCGGCGCTGGTACGGGAGCAGCCGGGGAGGGCGCGACCCGCTTCTTCCCCTCGCGCCCCTCTCCTGGGTCCCTGAGTCTCTGATTCCCAGTTCATCCTCCGAAGTCCACATGGCTAGAGCCGGGCACGGGCTTCCTAGTGTCCTGCTTCTTCCTTCTCCCCTTTCTCTCTATGGATTGTCAGGCTGTGGACCTCCGCTTCCTCGGCGCCCTCAGTGCCTGCCGTCCCCGGGGAACCTTGCGCGCAGGCTGATCGCTCTCCTCTTGCAGGGACCGCCGGTGCCGTGGCCGGGACTGTGAAATACACTGAGAGCGCGGGAGGCTTCTGCTATGTGGAGAGCGGCACGTTGCTTTCCGTCACCAGGAACAGGTTCATTCATTGGTAAGTGCGGCGTTCGCCAAACCCCCAGGAAGGTCGGGTCGTTCTCCGAGTGTCATTCTCCAAAGCGATGCCCAGCAGGAAAGAAAGACCGTTTTCTAATCCTATGTGAATCCGGAGGAAATGAAGGAAACCAGGGTTCTAGGGGATGTGCCCCATCAGGGCAGTACTGAACGCAGAGGAAATGTAGCAGCGTAAGGGATAGAGCCCCGGGGACCAGGTGTAAACATAAACCCGTTGTGTTTTTATAATGCTTCATAGCGTCCTTCACTCTGCAGACAGGTTTGAGCCCGGCAGGCACTCTGCTAGGTGTGTTAGGGATGAAGTGATGAGTGAAAACCACCATTGTCATCATGTAAGATGTAGCGGTGTTAGATGGGGGCTCACCTTCCATGGGGCCCTTTTCAGAAGGAAAGACATTAAATCGATGACCACAGCATAGGTATATAAATACATATTTTTCATACTTGCTTCAGGGGAAAAGTTTAGGGACTGTGAGAGGCTAAGGGGAAGGCCAAATGTTTTCTGTGGGGGTGGGAAAGCCTTTAAGGAAGTCCCATTTAACCTGAGATCTGAAGGATGAAGGGTTGGCCAGCCAGGGGTTTGGGGGAGAGAGCAGTTGGGCAAGAGGGATCATCATATGCAAAGTCCATGAGGTGGGAAGAACTTGAAGAACTGACTGTCTGTGGCTTAAGTGCAATGGGAGAAAGTGATGTGAGAGATGCTGAGATTTGGGGAGGTAGGAGGGACTCATTGAGGTGAGGAAATAGAGAAAGCACAGCCATAGAGGACAGTGGAGAAAACATAGCTGGATGGGGGCCAGAATGGGTGACGGAAAGGCAGAGGCCTGGGAAGAGCGTATTTGAGTGTTTATGGAAGAAGGAGAGATGGAAGCAGGAGGGATATGCTTGAAACAGTCAGGGATTGGCCTTTAATTGCTGTAAGGCAGGGATGGGGAAGCTTTTTCCTGCCAAGGGCCATTTGGATATTTATAACATTTGTAGACAATACAAAATTATCACTTAAAAATTAGCCTGCTATATATATAGCCTGTTAGTCAAACCTTTTCTTAACTTGCCCCTAATGCCTTGGCAGGGCTAGACCAAATGATTTCATGGGCCGTATGTTCCCCACCCCTGCTGTAAGGAGACCCACTTATGGGGGGAATAATGTGGGTAATATGGTAGATGAGATGATGGGCTACCACATGGCAGAGTTGCACCTGAAGAAGAGTCTACCCTGCATCCTGGCGGGAATAAGTAACAGAAGTACTAGAGGGGGAAATACCCATATTTATTAGGGTCACTGTAAGTTGAGGCTGTAGTTACATACGTGGAGGCCTCATTCTTTCACAAGTAATGTGAAAGAGGGAGGGAGGTGGCGCGGGTTTTCATTATAGTGGAATTTAAATAAGTGGACTATCTAGTTTGGAAATACCTCTTTTTAACAGGCACATAATATTTGAATTTTATATTGTGCTGTTTTGTATATCTATATAATGTGGTGGTTTGGAATGTAAAAATTGGTCTGAATTTCTTTGTCTGAAATTTTCATACTGGGAAAGTTCACCTGGAAATTATTTTCATATATTTCAGTGCAACAATCAGAAAGAAAAGCATAAGCTTTTTGAACAAATGTCTTTTTTTTTTTGTCTCCTTTTTTTTTTTTTAACAGGAAGACCTCCGGAGATACACTGGAGCTAGTAGAAGAGTCACTGGACATAAATCTGTTGAATAATGCAGTTCGCCTCAAATTCCAAAATTGTAGCCTCTTACCCGGAGGGGTTCATGTCTCTGAGACTCAGAATCATGTGATAATCTTGATATTAACCAATCAGACAGTGCACAGGTTGCTTTTACCTCACCCTTCCCGGATGTATAGGAGTGTAAGTTGGTTAAGTCATTTATTTCCCCGGTGCCTCTGGTTGTCACAGATTTAGAGGAATATCCTTTGGAAGTGAAGGAAATGTGGATTCCTTGTTAGCCCTCACCAAGTATAATTTGATAGTTACTGCTTAAAATGATCAGACACATTTTAAGTTGAAGAAATAGATTTTATTAAAAAGAATAGCTTTCTTTTTAAGCTCAACAATTAGCAATTGAGAGGAACTGCAAAATTCTGCTCATTCTGGATTTAACAGATTTGTCTTTCTAATTTCTCCACAGGAGTTTGTAGTTGAAAGTCAAATGCAATCAATATTCACTGACGTCGGAAAAGTTGACTTTAGGGATCCTTGCAACTATCAGTTAATTCCAGCAGTCCCTGGACTCCCCCCTAATTCTACCACCTCGGCAGCCTGGCTTAGCAGTGATGGGGAAGCCCTGTTTGCTCTACCATCTGCTGCTGGGGGGATCTTTATTCTTAAACTACCTCCTTATGACATACCTGGTAAGAATGGGAACTGAGCGTGGATTTAACTTTAAACAAGGAAGGCTGGACTTAAAAGTCCAAACCCATCATTCAATACAGGAATTGCTTCCATACCAATGGTCATTCAGTATCACTTAGTGAGCCTACTGCTTTACTGTTGTTTTTTCCAAAAGAGCAAGATTTTATACAGTGGATGAGGAACTGGAAGGCTTACTAGAATATGGGAAAAGATAACTGCAAGACAGCCTATTCTAAGGCCACTAGTAGAGATGAGTTGACTAGTTGTCTTCAGGTTGAGGTATTATAACCAAAATAATTGACACAAGGAAGTTGGGTTGCTGATACCCTGCTCCAAGTCACCGCCCTCTCTTGCCTGGATTATTGCTGTAGCTTCCCAAATGCCTCTCCAGACCTATCCTCGCCCTCTACAGAAACTTCTTGGGCAGATTGATACACTTAACACCTAAGTTGAGTCGTTACCACTCTGTTCAAATCATTCAAATGAGGATTGTTCTTCGTCTCACTCTGAATAAACCTAAAGTCCTTACATTGGCATACAGTGACCCCCTGCTGCCTCACTTTACCTTCTTTCCCCCTCACCTTCTCAGCATCAGCTGCTTCCCTTCGCACAATTCCCTGAACATACCAGGCATACATTCCTCAGGCCTTTGGCCTGGAGTCACCTTTCCCCAGCTACCAGCTTGGCTCCTTCCCTCCGTTCCTTTAGGTCTTTGCTCAGTGTCCCCTTGGTGAAGCCTTCCCTGACCACCCTTTTCAAAGTTGCACACCCGCCCTAGCATTCACTATAGCCTTTTCATGTTTTATTTTTCGCTTCTTACTGCTCTAATTTGTTATGCTCTACTTAATTTGTTAACTCTTGCTTCTCCCACCTCCCAGTGGAATGTAAATTCCATGAGGGCAGGAGTTTTTTATTTTGTTTACTGCTCCATCTGTAGCACTTAGCACTGCCCAACACATGAAAGGTCCACAGTGATTTTTTGAGAGGAATGAAGTATTTCTGAGCAATATGAGTTACTATTTATAAATGGCAAAAATTTTCCCTAGGAATCTGAAAATGTCATTTTTATTGAGCCAATAATGATTCAAAAGATTTTAGGTGTAATATTCATGGAAAGCACATCCTAAGATTTCCCTAGATAGAAATGTGTAAGCCTGTCACCTGTTATAAAGACCTAGTTCATAGTTGCATCCTTCTCACCTTTGCGTTTCACTGAGTATCGTCAGGAGGTGGCTTGGATACATCATTGGTCTGTTTTCAACCTTGTAGGGATGGCGTCAGTTGTGGAACTGAAACAGAGTTCAGTAATGCAACGACTGCTTGTAGGCTGGATGCCAACAGCTATCAGGTAAGTGGTGCCTGGCAGGTAAATCAAAAGGCCTAAGAATTTAATCTTTTTGCGCTGTTCGGCACTGTTAGTGCTTCCATTCTTACTCCAAGGCAGATAAAAATGGTACTGGAAAGGGTCAGAGTATGCCCAACATCACATTCCATCTGAGGAGAGCCACAGTGCAAAGCCCACTTAACTTGGGATTAGACACCTTGACAACAGAAACTGGCTTCCTGTGTATGCTCTCAACATCCAGTTTGGCACTCTGCCCTGACTTACCAAATCCAATTTTATGTAATATTAGAAGTAGAAAGTATTTGATGTTTAAAACAGTATTCCATTGTTATGTAGAGCCTTTTAAAATTTATCATAGTCATTGGTTGTAAATTAAATAGAAACTGTAGTGACCTTATGCCAACATACAATCTGTTGCTCCAGTTAACTGTACATTATCTCTTAAATTGGGATTTATAACAACCAGATGATTTGCGATAGTAAAACTTGGCCTTACGTTTTTAGAGGTGATCAGGGGTCTTCAGATCGTCCCCTCAGTCTTGCTGTTCATTGTGTTGAGAATGATGCCTTCATCTTTGCTCTGTGCCAGGATCATAAACTACGCATGTGGTCTTATAAGGTAAATGCTACATTTTTAGTTACAGTAAGTTAAAAAAAGATTATGAATTGTAAGATAATTGAAGTTAATCTTGCTGCTTCTGTTAGATTATCAGATCACTTAGTTTGAAAATTATGGGCCATTTCCAGTTTCATTTGGTTTCATTTTTCATACATTTCTCAGCTAAGTTTTCATCTATATCTTGAAAATTATGAAATAATAGAAAAGTTGAAATAATAGTACAGAGTATATCCTTCCCTTAAGATGAACAAATATGCTTTTTTTAAAAAAATATATGTTTTTATTGATTTTAGAGAGAGAGAGAGGGAGAGAGATAGAAACATTGATGAGAGACATATCAACATCCACCTGCCAGAGATTAAGCCTACAACCCAAGCATGTGCCCTACCCAGAATTGAACTGATGACTTCATGGTGCATGGGTCAGTGCTCAACCACTAAGCCACACCAGCCAGGCCAAATACGCTTTTGAAATGCAGTTGGTAAAATAGTTTCCAAGATTCACAAAACAGCTGATAATTATCTCTATCAGACTAAGAGATAATTTCATCTTAACCCTCAAACACACACACACACACACACACACCTGTATGGTCCTTCAGCACATAAATTAGAGTGCTAGATGTAATGGATGATTCCTTTAAAGGGGGAGGAGACTTGTTTTTTAACCTAAATATTCTTTGATGCCACTTATTACTTGGGCAGGACCAAATGTGCCTGATGGTAGCCAACATACTGGAGTATGTCCCTGTGAAAAAAGACCTTCAGCTCACTGCTGGGACTGGACACAAATTACGACTTGCTTACTCCCCTGCCATGGGACTCTATCTGGGGATTTACATGCATGCACCAAAACGAGGACAGGTATGAAACACATGACATGTATGAAGTGATTCTATACGTGGGAAAGTGGCTGTGAACTCATCAAGTCTGTTTCAGCTCTTCACGTCAGCTTCAATGTCTCCTGTTCTTTCTGCAGAGATGGTGGGTTTTGTGCTCATGTGTGGATTAAGCAGGAGAAGTCAGGATGAAAGGGTGTAGAGAGTTTAAAGGACTATGAAAGGAAAAGTTAACCAAAAACCAACAAGAAAACAGACTTGCAAGTCTGTGAGAAAAAATGGAGTTATGAAAGGGATATAGGTGTTCATAGGTGGTTAAGGGGAAATTAAATTTTAGAAATAATTTTGCTCATCTAAACACTAGCTGTTGTATGTAAATGAGGTAAGTAGGAAGTAATACAATGATATAATAGTGTGATAAACCGCCATTTATTTGGTTTGTGTGTTTGGCATAGCGTTAGGGCCATTTAAGTTCAATAACAAATGCTTGAGCTGCTTACTCTGAGCTCACACTTTAGATATTATCCATTTAATCTTTTTTTTTTTCAAATATAAGAAAGCATTTTTTTTAAAGGGTTTCTTTTTTTTTTTTTTGTCTAAAGTTTTACATATATCTTCTTTTTCCCCAATCCATTTAATGTTAACAGCATTCCAGTAAGGTTTGTCCTCACTGTGCTAGAGCTGATTCCCATGCTGGCTGCGGCCCTGCCTGGGTGCCGTCCTCATTCCTGTTGGTCTCTTATACCACACTTCATTATTTTTTAATTTAATATATTTTAATTGATTTGAGAAAAGAAGGGAGAGAGAGAGAGAAAAATATCAATCAGCTGCCTCCTGCACCCCCACTTTTAACCAGGGATTGAGCCCACAACCTGGGCATGTGCCCTGACCAGGAATTGAAGTGGCAAGAATTTTATTATGATGAAATACTGGTAGAATAGTTAAAGGCATACCACATCCGAATAATCAATGTAAATATTTTCTTTCAAAGTTGTAAGTTTTTATATCACATTTTGTAAAAGTTTTCATAAACAAGGCTTTAAAGTAAACACAGGTGACATGAACCATTCATTGCTATGTAACTTACTGTGTTTTTATACTGTTTTATACTTTTTTGAATTACAATAGCAGCAATTAAGTTATTTGTATTTTGCTTAACTAAGACAAAAATGCTTTTACTTTACTATAGAATAAATACATTTTAGTTAAAAAAAAAGTTATGATAAATATTACAATATGGGTAAACCTTAAGGACAAGTAAAATAAGCCAGTCACAAAAAGACGAATACTGTTAAGATTCTACTTATATAAAATGCCTACAGTAGTCAAAGTCATATTGATAGGAAATATAGTGGAGGCTACCAAGAGCTAGTGGGAGAGGAGAATGGGAAGTGTTTAATAGGTACAGAGTTTTGGTTTTGAAAGATGAAAAATGTTTGAGGGATCAGGTGCACAATAATGTAAATGTGCTTAATACTATTGAACTGTACACTTAAAAATTGTTAAGATGATAAATGTTATTGTGTATTTGGCCATACTTTTTAAAGAATTGGTTTCTATATGCTAATAAACTCTTGTTTAGACAAGTAGTATGTTGTATTTCAAGTAATAAATTACCAACTTACATTTTAACAGTTCTGCATTTTCCAACTGGTGAGCGCTGAGAATAACCACTACAGTCTAGATCACATTTCTTCCCTGTTCACTTCTCAGGTAGGTTTAATCATCCTTTGCATGTCACACAAATACAGGAAAGAAGTATTGGCTAACTCAACTATATTGTCCTGGAATTGAAATGCTAAAATGGAATATTTCATGATGTATGCAAACAAAATTTCATTTTGGTTTCACCTTGTTTTTGGGGCACTGTCTTCTGTTTTTATGCTTTTATCTCTCCTACGGATATAAATTTAAGTCATTATAAACTGCTACCCTTTCTTATTTTATTTACTTTTAATATATTTTTATTGATTTCAGAGAGGAAGGGAGAGAGAGATAGCAACATCAGAGATGAGATAGAATCATTGATCAGCTGCCTCCTGCACATCTCCCACTGGGGACTGAGCCTGTAACCCAGGCATGTGCCCTTGACTGGAATCAAACTGGGGCCCTTCAGTCCACAGACCAATACTCTATCCAAACTGGGTGAGGTCTATCCTTTCATATTTAAAACCCCCTCTCCCCCATTTCCTCCTAGGAAACACTGATTGACTTTGCCTTAACCTCTACGGATATCTGGGCCCTGTGGCATGATGCTGAAAACCAAACGGTAGTGAAATACATCAACTTTGAACAGTATGTATCACTTACCTCTGTCATCCTACCTTACCCCAGGCAGTTTCATACTAAGGAAAAGAGAGCATTTTATGTAGAACCAAAATCAAGTGTTTGTATATAAAGAATTGTGGCTGTTGTTAACTGTTTCTGAAAAACCTTTTATGTTTGTGTTATTTCTTACCTTTTGATTTTAGGATGAAATAGGATTCTTAGCATTGGAATGAAATGAAGAAAATACTGAATTTTTTTGTTTGTAGCATTGGAATGAAATGAAGAAAATACTGAATTTTTTTTTTTTGTTTTTTTTGTGTGTTTTTTTTTTTGAGAGATAGCACATATCCAAAATACTTCTAATCTGGGAGGGTATTTTTTGCTTCTAAGCAAAGACTATTTCTGATACCCACCACTTCCAAAAGACACTGAAACCCCTTTGGGAATCTCAGTTTCCTCATCATGTGGAAATAGATTACACAAATACAGTGCTTCTCAAACATTTTTTAAAACAGGAAACCCTTTTTTTGCCCAAAAGATAATGAACTCCACTATATAACAAACCTAGTGTTCTATGAATATTATAATACAATTTAATGTACCAGTATTGAGAATTTCTAGCATAAATCTGGTAATTTTTTTAAAGATTTTTTATTGAATTTTTTTTCTTAACGAATATTTTATTGATTTTTAGAGAGAGAGGAAGGGAGAGAGACAAAGAGAAACATCAGTGTGAGAGAGCAACATTGATTGGCTGCCTCCTGCATGTATTGCACCCACAACCTAGGCATGTGCCCTAACTGGGAATCAAACTGGCAACCTTTCGATGCATGGGACAGTGCCCAACTCACTGAGCCTCCGCTGGCCAGGGCTTCTGAAGATTTTTTAAAAATATATTTTATTGATTTTTTTACAGAGAGGAAGGGAGAGGGATAGAGAAGTAGAAACATTGATCGAGAGGGATAGAGAGTTAGAAACATTGATGAGAGAGAAACATCGATCAGCTGCCTCCTGCACACCCCCTACTGGGGATGTGCCCGCAACCAAGGTACATGCCCTTGACCGGAATCGAACCTGGGACCCTTCAGTCTGCAGGCCGACGCTCTATCCACTGAGCCAAACCGATTAGGGCTGAAGATTTTTTTTATTGAATTTTTTTTCTTTAAGAATATTGTATTGATTTTTAGAGTGATTTTTAACAATTGATCAAGCAGTCAATGCAGAGGTTCAAAGATAGGGCCCTCCCTGCCTAGATACTGCCAATGGCATAAGCTTTGCTTTTATTCATCACTAGAGGTGGTGCACGAAAATTCATGCCCTCAGCCCAGCCTGCACCCTCTCGCAGTCCGGGATACTTTGGGGGATGTCCACCTGCCAGCTTAGGCCTGACTCCTGGAGGATCAGGCCTAAGCTGGCAGTCAGACATCCCTCTGGCAGCCTGGGAGCCCTCAAGGGATGTCTGACTGCCTAAGCCACAGTTGGACATCCTTAGCACTGCAGAGGAGGCGGGAGAGGCTCCTGCCACTGCCGCTGCACTTGCAGCCATCAGCCCAGCTTGTGGTTGAGCAGAGCTCCCCCTGTGGGAGCTCACTGACCACCAGGGGGCAGCTCCTGTGTTGAGTGTCTGCCCCCTAGTGGTCAGTGTGCATCATAGCAACCAGTCGTTTCCAGTCAGTGATTCCCAATCCTTAGCACTGCAGAGGAGGCGGGAGAGGCTCCTGCCACTGCCGCTGCACTTGCAGCCATCAGCCCAGCTTGTGGTTGAGCAGAGCTCCCCCTGTGGGAGCTCACTGACCACCAGGGGGCAGCTCCTGTGTTGAGTGTCTGCCCCCTAGTGGTCAGTGTGCATCATAGCAACCGGTCGTTTCCAGTCAGTGGTTCCCAGTCATTCCACCTTAGGGTCAATTTGCATATTACCCTTTTATTATGTAGGATTGTTCTATAGACTGATGGACTTTTTTTCTCTCTAGCAATGTTGCAGGTCAGTGGAATCCAGTTTTTATGCAGCCTCTGCCAGAGGAAGAGATCATTATCAGAGATGATCAAGACCCCAGAGTAAGCAATGCTAAAGTATTACATAAGGGGATGGTTTACTCTGATTATTAGTTTCAGAAGAGCCAGTTATATTAGAACTCTTGAAGCTGCAGGTGAAGGAAACCACCTCTAACTGACAGGTTTAAAAGGAGAATGCATTGGCTTGTTCCGTGGCTTCAGCCATAGTTGTAACAATGCCATCAAGGCTTGATCTCTGCTTTGTCTCTGTTTTGCTTTCCTCCTTGTTGGCTTTATTCTCAGGCAAGCTCCCTGCCTGAGCCTGTGCATTTTGTGAACCAAGCAACCCCAGAGGGAAGAGAGCACCTCTGTCCCAGGTTCTGGAATAGATGCTCACTAGCCTGGCTTGGGTCATCTAGTAATTCCTGACACAGTCACTTTGATCAGAAGAAAGAATATTCTAGCTTGGCATGAGAAACATGTCCAACCTGGGCCCTGTTGTTGTGGAAGGTGGTTGAAGTAAGTTGAGTATAGATAGTGGAAGAATGGTTCCCTAGAAAAAGAAAAGGGATTTGTTAGTAAAAGAAGGGGAAATGGATTCTGGGCAGGCACAAATCACTGTACTACCTATGATGGTACATGCATATAAGCTTGAAATAATATAAATGCTGGTAGAGGTATATGCTATGAAGAAAATAACTTTAAAAGGTAGTGCATTAGGGAGCAAACAGGCCAGTCCTGTTTTCCAGGGACACCCTTGGGATAAATGGTAGAAAAAGCTTTCAGTTGATGCCTTGGTATTAAAATGAGGTGTAAAAGATTATGGGCTATGATTCTGAAACTGACTATTTGTGGGATTGGAAAGCCCACTTTAAATATCTGAAATTGAATATTGCCATGTTTCTAATCCCAAGAGTTTATTGGCACTTGACTTTAGTCTCAACGCCAAAATCAGATGCTGATTATTAAAATCCTTGTTTTTCCCCTTCATTTTGGTCATTTTATCATGCCCAGAACCCCAGTACAAGGTAAGAACTTGAAAGAAAGTCAGTCAGGTTTATTATTCTGGCAAATCTGGTTAATGAAATTGGGTCACAATAATTAGATAGTGTGAGATTTTCCATTTTATTCTCACTATGTCATTTCCCCACTTAGCTTATTGCAGTTTTCTGTTTGGTTTTTTACACATAACTCCTATTATTCTTTGGGGGGTTTTCTTTAATATGTAAACCATAAAATGTGTACTTTGTGGGTAATGTAGAAACCAGTTTAATTGTTCTTACTAGTGCATATCACCAGTAAATGAGATTTGCCTCTCTTTGGTTTAAGTTGGGAGTTTAATAAACTGGTTTCCAGTGGAACCCAGTGGTGCTCATGAGGAGCACACTGTGCTTCTAGTTGGTTCAGACACCACAGCGCTCACTTTCGGGGGGGGTGGGGGGCTGGATATAGAACTGCTCTACTACCTGTCACTGCTCAAATGTCCAAGGGCCAGATTTCCATGTTCCTATAATAGAAACTCAGCTTTGGTGGAAACATGTTAAATTCTTCAGTTTTTCCAATTTTTTATCTTTTTAGAATGATACTAATTTTTGTTTTAATGTTCTAACAGGAGATGTATTTGCAGAGTCTGTTTACACCAGGACGGTTCATAAATGCAGCTTTATGTAAAGCTTTACAGGTCAGTTAGAAAATATTCAATGTTTATTTAAGTTTATCTGTGTTATTACTATTGTATAATTAATGACTGCTATTAATGTTTGTTGTTTTGCACGTACTATCAACAGTGAATGTGTTTTTGCAATTGCATAATGCAATTTTTAAATAAACACTATTTATAAATGCGTTTGTAAATGCTATTATAATTTTTATAAATGGTCTTTCTATTAAGTGAGACTCCCAGCAGGGTGGTAAAATGAGGTACTTTCACTATTGTATAATTAATGACTGCTATTAATGTTTGTTGTTTTGCACGTACTATCAACAGTGAGTGTGTTTTTGCAATTGCATAATGCAATTTTTAAATAAACACTATTTATAAATGTGTTTGTAAATGCTATTATAATTTTTATAAATGGTCTTTCTATTAAGTGAGACTCCCAGCAGGGCAGTAAAATGAGGTACTTTCCCAGTGACTAATTAAGGCGCGATCCCACTACTGATCAGCACGGAAGCTTTGACCTGCTCCGTCTCCGACCTGGGCCGGTTCACCCCGCCAGTGACTAATTAAGCATGTCAGTGGTACAAAGAGAAATTTGTGCCTGCCCTATTATGAAAAGATACCATACTACACTACATGTAATCTCTATACTTGAAAGAAATTTAAAATATTTTCCAATAAAACATAAAAACAGTTAAAAATAAATAAATAAAATATTTTTTTGGTTGGTTTTGGTGATACTCTCTTTTTACCCTTTTGTTAGTACAGTGAAGGTCTGACTTGGTTCAGGTTCAATCTAAAATCTAAACTTCAAAATCACATGGTTTAAGAGATGCTTAAAATTTTACAAAAGGACTCTTTACAGTCACTTAGTCTTCCTTAAATTGCCACACTTGGTGAATTTAAAATAGAATATCACTCAGAGGATGGAAAGGCCCCTGAGAATCTCCTGATCTGACCTCCCACGCACAGCAGAAACGAGGCTTCTGTGAAGGACAGCTCCTCAGCTTCTAGTTGCCTCTGCCTCCCAGTGGCAACTTGTTCAGTGGCTTTTTTGTTAGTGATTGCTCGCAGACTGTGTCATTTAAAAGTTCCTCCCGGTATTGGATCAGATTTAACCCTTATCCTTTTAGTGGCTTTTTCCTTTTATAACATCATAGAACTTGTCTCTCCTATAAAGCAACCTTCAGATATTTTAAGAATTTTTTCATGTTCTTTTTCTCCAGAATTAATATGCCAGTTCTTTAACTTTCCCTCAATTGGTTAAAAAATAAAATAAAATAAACAAAAACAATGGGGAAAAAATGTTCCAGACCCTTGACTTTTCTTCCAGGTACATTTTTTTGTTTGTTTGTTTTTAATCCTCACCCGAGGATATTTTTTTCATTGCTTTTTTAGAGAGAGGGAAAGACAGAGAGAAACATCGATGTGAGAGAAACACATCAATAGGTTTTCTCCTGCACGAGCCCTGACCAGGGCCTGAGCCAGGAAAGAGCCTGCAACCAAGGCATGTGCCGTTGACTGGAATTGAACCCCGAGCCTTCGGTCTGCAGGCTGACGCTCTATCCACTGACTCAAACCAGCTAGGGCCCAGGTTCATTTTTTAATATCTGGCTACCCTATGTTTCTGTTTTCCCTCTGATAAAACTTCTGAATGATATGGTCACTTCTCCTCTTCTTTTCATCTCATCAGCACTTTTTCCTTGTTAACAATAATCAAGTGTAGGATAATATTTCTCACAATGTCTCTTGCACACTGAGGTACTAAATAATCAGGAAGGCATTTATCAGATGTTTTCCTCTATGAAAATCATTGTCAGTAGTGAGCCATCATCACTGTTCTAGCTTAGCTTGTGCCAGTCTCAGGGTGTGTATATTCAGTATCACCTTATGTCTTCCTTCCAGCTGAGTAATAGCCATTCTCCTTCCTTTTGCTTTTTGTAATGATCCAAATGTGCCCTATTATAACTCTTTCAGAATCGTGGATTTCTATAGTTTATTCTGGTCTAAACTACCCTAAACTTGATTTCAGTTACGGGAATTATTTGCACAATGTTAGGGATAATTGTATATCCCGGTCATGTCTAGTCTCTATGTGTTGTCATATATTGCCTCAATGCCTTTTAAACTAGAGCATTTTTCATTTAGTTTTAGGTATTATATAACTCTCCCACATGTCTCTTTTAATTTTAGATTTTCTGTCGAGGAACTGAGAGGAATTTAGATCTTTCCTGGAGTGAACTAAAGAAAGAAGTTACTTTAGCTGTTGAAAGTGAGGTAAGGTCTGGGTAAAGAAAACATAAATCTATTTTTCCATATTGATATGGGCAGATTGGTACTGAGGAATTCACTAGGAAGTATAAATGTTTAAATCTTTTAATTGGAGAATTAGATATATATTTACATAGACTATGGCATGTAAGCCATAAGGATTATTCATTTGGCTCTAGCTTAGTAAAATAATATTAGACAGTTATGTTTTGGGGGAGAAAGATCCCTAATGGTATTAAGAGTTTCTTTTCTTTTTTTTTTTTTTCTTTGCCAGCTCCAAGGAAGTGTAACAGAGTATGAATTTTCCCAGGAACAGTTTCGAAATTTACAACAGGAATTTTGGTGCAAGTTCTATGCCTGCTGTCTTCAGTATCAAGAAGCCCTCTCTCATCCTCTGGCCCTACATTTGAATCCACACACAAACATGGTGTGCCTGCTGAAAAAAGTAAGGGCACTGAGGCGTAGAGAAGAACTCCTTTAGACAGTCGATGAGTCTTGCAGAATGCTAGTCTGCTGTATGTTGCAGTTGGCTTTTAGGACCCCCCCTTCCCCCAAAATTCTATTTCATTTGTATTTAGATAGTCTTCTGCATTGTTTGTACTTCTTTGCATTTCATTTTATTTACCTTTTATATTGAAGTGATTTCAAACTTAATATGAAACTTACAAGGATAGCACACAGAACTGTATACCCTTCACCCAGATTCACCATTTGTTAACATCCATTTACTTTTTTTCCTTCTATATTCTTTTTTTCCTGCTCCACCTGAGTGTTAGTTGAGGACTTCATGCCCCATTATCTGTACGTAGTTTAGCATGTGTCTAAGGTCAGGGGTATTCTTTCATAATCACAGCACAAGTTGATGATCAGGCAAGTTGATATTGATGTAATATTATACAGTTCATATTCAGATTTTACCAGTTGTGCCCATGAGTTTCTTCTTGATCTGGAATCCAATCCAAGATCTTGCAAGTTACGTCATGGGTTTTTTTACCTTAATCTCAAACTGCTGTCAGCCTTTCTTTGCCTTTCATGACTTTGACATGTTTTAAAGTCTATACCTATTGTTTTATAGTGTCCCTCAATTTGGATTTGTGTGATTGCTTCCTCATGATAAGATTCAGGTCTTAATTATTTTCTACCTTTAAACATTCACTGAAATGAAGTTAACTGGGTTTGTATTTCCAGGGGTACCTGTCTTTCCTTATGCCTTCCTCCTTAGTGGATCATTTGTACCTCCTGCCTGATGAGAACCTTTTGACTGAGGATGAAACAACCATATCTGATGGTAATAGTAATGTTATGTCTATATTTAATCCCCTTCCTGCATGAACCCTAATGCTTTGTTTCGATAGCCACTATGACCTTGCCTGGTCATTTTATCACACTAGATATTTTAAGGAAACCTGAAGAGTCCTAAGCATCTCTAAGACCTCAGATAAATCCTTGGCATTTAATTATTAATATCCATATCATAAAAGTGTAATATGCTTATTAGAGCAGATGTCCTTCCAGACGAAGCCAGGGCTGCGAGGGCCAGGGCTGCGGTGGGCGGGAGCTGAGCCCCTTGCACGAATTTCATGCATCGGGCCTCTAGTTTTCATATAGTATTAATCAGTAGCTCTTCATTGGCTTGAGACGTGATTGTTAACTTCCTCTTATTCATAGATGTGGATGTTGCTCGGGATGTCATATGTCTTATAAAATGCCTTCGGCTGATTGGAGAGTCTGTGACTATGGATATGTCAGTAATGATGGAGATGAGTTGTTTCAACTTACAGTCGCCAGAAAAGGCTGCAGAACAGATTCTGGAAGATTTGATCACTATTGATGTGTAAGGAGAATTTAGGGTAAAGTGAACTTCCTAATGGAAATTTAGCAATTTTTAGCACCAAAGTCGGGTTTCTAATATACATTAAAGTACGTACAAAGTAGTGGCTTAAACTGTTCACTGTTAAGTGTTTTTTCCACATTCATATTGTCTGTCATGTGTGGAAAAATAAGGGAAAATTTGCTTCATGGAGTAGAAGTATCTTGTATGCCAGAATGATTATCTCCATCCCTTTACTGTGGCTGGATTTCCTATTTCTAAGCACATTTAAGTTTTCAGGACTTACACAAAGTTTATCTTCTATGTCTTTGATAGTAATAGGAGTTTTCTAATTGTCCTTCTAGAGAAAATGTGATGGAGGATATTTGTAGTAAACTGCAAGAGATTAGGAACCCAATCCATGCCATTGGGCTTCTTATACGGGAAATGGATTATGAAACAGAGGTGGAAATGGAAAAGGGATTCGATCCAGGTAATGACAAAACAACAGACATGCCTTTTTGACTTAGAGAAGAAAATGATTTAACTCCTTTTTTTTTTTTTTAATTATAGCTCAGCCTTTGAATGTTCGAATGAATCTTTCCCAGCTCTATGGTAGTAGCACAGCAGGGTATATCATGTGCAGAGGTGTGCATAAAATTGCCACAACTCGCTTCCTCATCTGCCGAGACCTTTTGATCTTACAGCAACTATTAATGAGACTAGGAGATGCAGTAAGTACTATTTGAGAGAAAACTTATGAAGCCTGTTGTACACCTACAGGAATGTGGCAGTGTGTCAACTCTATGAGCACACAGATTTTGTCTTTATTCTCTGCTCTGTCTCCCATGCTTGGCCTTTAGTAGACCTCTATAAAAGTTGCTGCATTAGGAATGAGTAAGCATAGGAATCTGAAATCACAGATCAAGAACATAGGAGCAGATTGTTTCACGGTTTCCCTTTATATGCATAATGCTAGGAAGTTTTCTCAGGTTGACTGTCCCAAAATTGAGTATTATTAGTATGACTTTGGATGTGATGGCTGGGTTCCATTTAGTGGGAGGAGAGAGGAAGAGATGAAAATTCTCTTTCTGCAGTACAGGATTTACCCTAAGCACAATGTTGAGATTGCAGTGTGTCTTTAGGGTCCTCCCAGCTCCATTCTGTGCTTTCTTTTCCACCGTATTCTTATTCTCAGGTTACCAGATTCTAAAGATTCTGCAGTCCTTGCCACTCACCCACTGAATGTTCCATGTTCAGAAATTAGCTTTCTGTCCACAGTAAGAAGTCCCTTTTGTTTCTCCTTCAGTAATTTCTAATGAGCCTGACAGGAAGCAGTCTGATTAAACTAATTCATGTTAATGTGTAAAGAATTAAAAGGCCTTGTGTTCCCAGAGGTATTAATACTTTTAAACCAGAATTTATTAACTCAAATACATTGCTAATGGTAGAATTTAGGGTAAAAATAAGGAAAAACATTTAGGAGAAGATGATTTGTTTAGGGCCACCAAGGAGAAAGAGAGTCTGTCCCTTAGGGCAGCCCTTATTAAGTTCTTTCCGATCTTTATAGATTTTCCCATTTCTCTAGGAGCTTGGGGTTTTTGTTTTTTTGTGGTATTTTTTTTTTTATTGTAAACTTTGTTGGTTTTTCCTAAACATAGAAGTAATAGATGTTCATTGTAGAGCCTTTATATGGAAGCCTTTTTTTTCTAGTAAACAAAAGGAAAATAAAGATTCATCTGTAATCTTCTACACAGCGATGACCACAATTTACATTTTGGTGTGCACCCTTTTTCTATGCAAATTGTTTTTTGTTTTATTCATAAAATTAGGATAGTCTACATGTTATTTTTTTTGTAATCTGATGGTTTCTATTCTTCTACTTACAAATTTCATCAGCATTTTCACATTAAGTATTCTATCATATTTTTAACTAGAGGCCCGGTGCATGAAATTCCTGCACTTGGGAGGGGTTCCCCTCAGCCCAGCCTGGGCCCTCTTGCAGTCCAGGAGCCCTTGGGGGATGTCCAACTGCCAGCTTAGGCCCGCTCCGTACTGGACATACTTAGTCAGACATACATACTTAGTGCTGCTGCAGAAGCGGAAGAGGCTCCCACCATGCCTCTGCGCTTGCCAGTCATGAGCCCCGCTTCTGGCTGAGCAGCGCTCCCCCTGTGAAAGTGCACTGACCACCAGGGTGCAGCTCCTGCATTGAGCGTCTGCCCCCTGGCGGTCAGTGTGCGTCATAGTGACTGGTCATTCCACCGTTGGGTCAATTTGCATATTAGCCTTTTATTTTATAGGACTAGTGGCCTGATGCATGAAATTTGTGCACAATAAAAGGGAATTAATTAGAGGAAATATTTTAATATTGCTATTTACTCTTTCTCTATAATAGAAGTGTCAGCGATGAAAGAAAATTAGTAAAATGTATATGAAAATAATATATCATGCAAGACCCAGACCCGGCCAGCCCCACCCCCGTCAAGCCCCGCAGAGCGGGGGACGCAGCTTCACGTCCCCCAGCCTCGCTGTACACACAACCCCGCCTACCTGTGCCTGCTGCACACGCAGCCTCCTGCTGATCAGTCGTTATGGTGTGAGGGCGTCATGGCCATTTGCATATTAGCCTTTTATTATATAGGACTATCTTGTAACAATTTTAATTTATTCAACCAATCTCATTTGTGGCCATCCATGTTATTGTCAGTTTTTTCTTATAGCTGTAACTTTCTGTAGACCTTTGATTATATCTCCAGGATAAAGTGTAAGAACTAGAATTGATTGGTCATAGGCTATATACATTTTTAAGGCTTTTGGTTGCAATGCCAAATTTTTCTCTAATAGTCATACCCATTTTTACCCAAGACCAGAAGCATAACAAAGGTCTTAGATTTCCCTAGTTCCCCTCTTGAATTCTCAACCCACAGATTTAATGAAAGTTAAGCTTTTCAAATTGTTTTCTTTTTCGCCGTCCTCTCCCATGAGTTGGTGAGCTGTTCTTGATTGTTTTTATACTGTTAAATGTTTGGGTAGATATTTTTGCCATCTGCCACCCCAAAATATAATGTTGCTTTTATTTATGTGTAAATGTTATTTTTTAAATGCCCTTTGTAACTGTGTTAATTTTATTTTACCTCCACCTGAACCTTAAGAGTTATCATTACTAATTGCTGTTCACTATCTTACCCCACCCCCTACCTGTCACGTACAGGTGATTTTGGGAGCCGGTCAGCTCTTTCAGGCTCAGCAAGACTTACTCCATCGAACAGCTCCCCTACTCTTATCTTATCGCCTCATTAAGTGGGGATGTCAATGCTTGGCAACTGATGTTCCAGTTGACACACTGTAAGTTTAATTATTTTTTCACTATCTTAACAAGAAGAAATTTATAAACATTGTGCTATTATGTATTTTGCCTTTAAAATTCAGAGAGCTTTTAAATTTTTTTTTTTATTGATTTGAGAGAGAGAAACATCTATTTGTTCCACTTATTTATGCATTCATTGGTTGTTTCTTGTATGTGCCTGACCTGGGATTGAACTTGCAACCCTTTGGTGCACTGGACGATGCTCTAACCAACTGAGCCAACCAGCCAGGGCCAAGGAGCTTTTAGATGCTTCATTTTCTAAAAGTTGAAGGCTACTTACAAGAATGAAAATAGCCCTAGCTGGTTTGGCTCAATGGATAGCACATCAACCCTTCGACTGAAGGGTCCTGTGTTTGATTCCAGTCAAGGGCACATACCTTGATTGCAGGCTCGATCCCTGGCCCTAGTTGGGGCACATGCAAGAGGCAACCAATTGATGTGTGTGTCTCATATCAATGTTTCTCTCTCTCCCCCTCTCTCTCCCCCCTTTCTCCCTCCCTTCCACTTTTTAAAAAAATCAATGGAAAAATATCCTTGAATGAGAATTAACAACAAAATTATGTATTTTCTATGTATGTATGTATATAATGTAAAGATAAATTTTGTTGAAGGCAAAATAATAAGAGGTCAGAAGGGAAGTTAGGCCACACACAGAAACATTGTGCTAATTCTTAAAGGCAGGCTGAGATTCTTTATAACCCCAAGAAAAAAGAAAATCCAACAATTACAAGATTCACATTTTCTGTAAGATAAACCACCCGTTTTCTCTGGCAAAGGAAGGCTTTTCATGACATGGAGGTCTTGGAGACATTCCTGCCGTGGCGTCTCATTGCAGAATCACTGAGTGGTGTCATGGGCAAGTGTCTAAACTGTGATGTGTTTTCCAGATATTTTCATGCTTTCTTTCGATGGAGCTTTCAGGTGCCGTTTGCTAATTACATTGACAGCATCCTGGATAGGACAACTTGTGGAAGTTGTATTTGACATAGAAGTACTAAGCTGTTTTTCCCCCTTTCCTCACAGGGAGTCTAACCTCCAACACTTGTCAGTGCTGGAACTGACTGACTCCAGTGCTTCAGTGGCGAACAAGTTTGGTAAGGACGGGGCGGATACACATTGGATTTTACGTTTAGCATTTAAAGTGGTCTTTGCCACCTTTGCTTTAGCAAATTTGACAAGGCTCTGCTTTCACTTTGAGAGGGGGTAAGCAAGCTGAGTCCTCTCGTTGTGGCAAGGGGTCTTTGGAAACCATAGTCCCAGGTCAGGCATAAAATACATGGATAGACATACTGCTGCTTTCTCGTTGATACTGATATTCCAGTGATTAACTCAAAATCATTTTTTTTTTTTTTTACATTTACTAAGTTCATAGTAGCTTTTAAAATCTGTCTTAATTAGTAAATATTCAAAAGGAGCCCCTCTCATGCTTGAGAACTGTTCTGGAGAATTTATTTTGTGTGTTTTTTTGAATATTGGAACTGTATTTATTATAAACATTCTAGGGAAGACACTTAGGTTTAGCGAGACCAGTGAAAAAAAATGACTACAATGTTAATTTAAATGGCTTTTTTATTGCATTTGTATAGTACTTCACAGTTTACAAATTGCTTTTATTTATATTGCCATTGATAATATCAATGTTGCATTTTATATTTTGAAATAATAAGTGTTCTTTGTTATAGGCATAAAATGAATTGATAGACTCTCTTCATTGAAAATTGATATTATATCACAAGTTGCTCATTGTCATTACTTTTTCTTTTTAAGTTTCTAGCCCTCAGTCACTTGTGGAATTATTCTTTCAAGAAGTTGCAAGAAAACATATTACATCTCATCTCTTCTCTCAACCAAAGGCACCTCTTAGCCAGACTGGGTTGAATTGGCCTGAGATGATTACTGCAATTACCAGTTATTTATTGCAGCTCTTGTATCCTTTTATTTAAAAACTAGAAGCCCAGCACACGAAATAACGTGGCCCTGTGCGTTTTGCCCACCCACCCGCAGGTGCCTTGCTGTGCTCACAGCCCCGCCCACCTGCGCTGGTCATTCGTCATTATGGCGTTAGGGCCATGGGCTTTTTATATATATAGATCAGTTGAAAGGTTTCTTCTATCTAAATAGTCTAAGGCTCTTATTCTGTCTGTGTAATAAAGATTTTATTTATATATAAATAATGTATTTTTTAATCCTTGCCTGAGGATATATTTTTATTGATTCTAGAGAGAGTGGCAGGGAGGGAAAGAGAGAGAGAGAGAGAGAGAGAGATCAACATTGATGTGAGAGACAAACATTGATCAGTTGCCTCCTATACACACCTGGTCTGTGGATCATATCTATAGCCTAGGTAAGTGCCCTGACTAGGAATCAAACCCTAAACCATTTTGTTGTACGGGATGATGCTCCAACTAACAACCACCTTATTGGGGCTGTAATGAAGATTTTTAATGAGGTTGGGTGCTTATTCCCCCCAACAAGAGATGATAATACTTTCAGATATGATCCCAATTTTTATTTTATTTTGGTTTGCTTTTTGCTCAGGAGTTAAGCCAGGTTTTACTGGTATGAACAAATTTCATGCGTAGATCTCTTACAGCATTATACATTCATTTATCAGATATTTATTGAATGGCTCTATATGCCAGGCACTATATTAGGTGCTTGTGCAATTTATCAGCTAGAGTTAGAAATGATCACACAAGGTTGAAATACATTCTTTAGCCCATAGTTAATTGAGTTCGGTGACAAGGTTCCTTGTATATAACCTTTTCATTACCTTTGTCTAATAAGTTACATGGTTATGTGGAAAGAACATGTGCTCTGCCAACCTCTCTTTACCTTCTTTTTTAAAAATTAAGCCATTTTGTGGAGTCTGACTGCCCAGTGTGTATGTTTAAGTTTGTCCAAAAAAGGGAAAAAAAATCTCCTTAACCAATAACTTAGATGGCCTAGCAATCCCAGTTGCCTCTTTCTAGAATGTTTGATGGGAAGTTGTCAGTATGTACAATTGCAAGTGAGTACTATTGAATATTTCAGTTTTAATTATTCTTGTAAAGAATGGGATTTCTGGAACATTTTTCTTTGTAAATGTTACCTGCATTTTAATTGGGCTGATAATAAGAACCATAATAATTTATACTCCATTGCACCAAAACATACTCCAGATTTTCTCTTCTTGCCTCTTTCACAGTATCATTCCTAACATAATTTTTTCTAGAATCCTTTTTTTTTTTAATTCTCTGTATTAGGTAAAACAAACATACCATTCTCTTCATATAAATCCTTTACTGGCATCTAGTCATTGAACCAGTAAATACCAAAAGTTGGAAAATCGCTAAAATTTAGGAAGATGTATGTGTTTGTGTTATCGGAGTTCTGTTTGCTTTCTTAAAGTATCTAATAGCCTAACCCAAGAATCGGTTCACAGAATTAGGTTCTACTCTCCAGAGATATCAGGAAATATATGTGTTGATTGACCACATCTTCTCTCCCTCTGTGAAGAACTTGGAAATGAGTATTTATTTTCTTAATCAGAAAGCACCTTTTATGCCTTTAAGGATTATATTCATCTGCTACATCCTTGGTGTCAAGTCAATGTTGGTTCCTGTCGATTTATGCTGGGAAGGTGTTACCTGGTTACAGGAGAGGGACAGAAGGTAAAACTGCATTTTAAGTGATGAACAAGCTCTAGTGCAAGGAGGACACTTAGTTGCCGTCTAACTAGGTTGGAGGGAGTGGGAGGCATAGAGTCCTCCAGATCAGGTGCCAGTGAGGGGCATTATATACCTGTGGAGGATGTTCAGCCTCAGGTACTTTGCAGATTAGTTAGGACACAAGAAAATATGAATAAGGAAACAGTGCGACCTTCCTGCCCGTGCAGGTGTTTCTAGGGATGCATTTTGATGAATAATGTATTTCTCAATTACATTGTTTTCATTATATCTTTTTTTTTAATGCAGCTGCTTTTCCCAGTATGGTAGTTTACATTTCTATTTTTTTCCCCTGACATCGTACTATCTAAATTTCCTTCCTGCCCGTGCAGGTGTTTCTAGGGATGCATTTTGATAAATAATGTATTTCTCAATTACATTGTTTTCATTATATCTTTTTTTTTTAATGCAGCTGCTTTTCCCAGTATGGTAGTTTACATTTCTATTTTTTTTCCCCTGACATCGTACTATCTAAATTTTCAAACATACAAAAAAGTTTAAAGACTTTTATAATAAACAGTCATATACATACCACTCAAATTCTATAAATGTTAACATGTTGCTCAGTTGCTTTATTATGTATTTATCAATTATCTTACTTAAAGCTTACTTTTTAATAGTGTTTAAGTAAAGAAGTGAGATACAAGGTATTAAATAATTCATCAGATAGAGTTTAGAATGGCAGAAATTATGAATGTAGTCAATAGTCTTAAATAATTTTGTTTCTTTTTTGGCTTTGTTTAGCAAGTGAGTACCTAGAATTGGAACAATTCATTATAAGTCACTTTGTATTCTTTTCCTTCTCCAGGCTCTGGAATGTTTCTGTCAGGCAGCATCTGAAGTGGGCAAAGAGGAATTCTTAGATCGCTTGATCCGGTCGGAGGATGGGGAGATTGTTTCCAATCCCAGGCTACAGTATTATGATAAGGTATTTTATGTCATGGTTTGGCTCTTTTTTTACTATCCTGTGTAGAAATTTATTTGAAATACATTACCTTGGTATTTTTGGAGAAAAATAAGATAAAAATGTAATCATTCCCTAAATTTCTAAGTAAAGAGAAAATGAGTTTGCTGAAAGAAATTGAAGAAACATTTTTAATTAAATTTGATAAATGTTTTTAACTTAAATATCATTTTATTAGCTCAGTCATCATTAAAATTTTTATTACTTAACATTAGTTTGGCTGATAACTCAGAGAATTAACTTGCAATGCTATATTTAACTTTAGTTTATGATTTGGCCCCTGAGTGTGTTCCTACCACTTTCCTCTGGTCACTCAACTGTAATGATAGTGGCCTTCTTACTGTTCATGCGAGCTGAGCACATACTCTGGTCCTTTCAGAGCTTTTCTGCCTGCCATTGCCTTAGCCTGAAATGCTTTCCACCAAGTAGTCAACTTTCTCATGCCCTCATTGCATTCAGGTGTCTGCTCATGTGTCACCTCCCTGCCTGTCTATGTAGAATAACCCTTGCGGACCTGTGTGCTTGCTCCCTCTCCCTTATATGCACACGTGCAGACAGGCACCGAGGGGAGTCTCCTGGCCCTGCTTTATAACATTTAACTGTGCTTGATGCTGTATTTTAGATAACCTGTGTGTTATTACCTATTTTCTTAATGTGTTTTTAGTTATTTTAGAGGAAAGGTGAGGAAGAGAGAAACATCGATTGGCTGCCTCCTGCACACCCCCTACTGGGGATCTAGCCTGCACCCCAGGCATGTGCTCTAACCAGGAATTGAACCAGCGACCTCTCGGGGCATGGGACAATGCCCAACCAACTGAACAACACTGGCCAGGGCTCTTTTGTTTTTTTTATAAGGCCATGGTGTTAATTTATTTATTAGGCTTTAAATTTATCTATGGACCCAAACAGTTAGTATCAGAAGTTAGTAGTGAAATTGTATTTGTTCCTTCATTCAGCAAATACTTACTGAGAGCCTACTATATACTAAACACTGAGGATAGAGCTGTGAACAAAAAAGACCAATAGAAAGTTTTACAACAAGCCTATTATTTAACAGTAGAATCTAAAGGAAAATCTAAAATATTGACCAAATAATCCTCATTTTCTCAGCACCTTTGATATAATCTTTATATTACCCAGTTATCTAATGGATTTAAAATCATATATCAATTTGAAATGCATATTAACTTTAATACAAGTTTCTTCTATTCCTCCTCAGGTTTTGCGCCTTCTAGACGTTGTTGGTTTGCCTGAACTCGTTATTCAGTTGGCTACATCAGCAGTAACTGAAGCAGGTGATGACTGGAAGAGTCAGGTAAGAACTAACTATAGTCTAGTTATTTCTCTTGAGATTTGTCATGAATGTGATGTTTTGATTTCTATTACTCTTTTTCCCCCTGTATCTGATATTTAGGCTACTTTAAGAACATGCATTTTCAAACATCATTTGGATTTGGGTCACAATAGCCAAGCATATGAAGCCTTAACCCAAATTCCCGATTCCAGCAGGTATCAATCTTGATCTTTTTGAAGAAGGTGATTGATTTACCAAACGTATTTAACCCACGAAGACAGTTTACCCTTGTCTGCCTTTCTTTCCTTCTAGGCAGTTAGATTGTTTACGGCAGCTGGTGGTGGTTCTTTGTGAACGCTCACAGCTACAGGATCTTGTAGAGTTTCCCTATGTGAATCTGCATAACGAGGTAATTTAGGTACCCACTGATGACTGATGGCAACTGTGTTGGCTGTCATGATGACTACTAACTTTGATGTCTGATTGCTTCCCCTTCCTTAGGTTGTGGGAATAATTGAATCACGTGCCAGAGCTGTGGACCTCATGACTCATAATTACTATGAGCTTCTCTATGCCTTTCACATCTATCGCCACAATTACCGAAAGGGTAAGCCCTTGAAGCAGGCAGTCTTTGTTGGAGGCAACCTTACCAGTTTAATCACATTTTACAAATATATTATGTTTGACTTACGTAATTTTTACCTTATTTTTAATATTGGATAAGTGTTCTCCATGAGCATTTGGGGAAATTATGTTTAAGGACAAAATTAGCTTCACCTTCTTGAGGATTACCTGTTAGCCTTAAACGCCTCCAATCCTGAGGCATTTCCAGTAAGATGACCTTCTATGTGAATCTTCTGATTTTAAACAAAATTTTCCTTAAAGGCACCTTGAATTCTTGTGGCTGGTTTTGAGTTCCTGTGCCATTTTGCATGGGCCTTCTCTCTTTCCTTATTTATTTTTGCTGATCCTTTTGAGAGTAAGTTGTAGACATTATGACTCAGTGGGTGAATACTTCAGGTGCATCTCCTAAGGAACATTTTCTTACATAACCTCAATGCAATTATTGAATTAAGGAAATGTAACAAATTAATTTTGTGAATTAAATCTAAATGTGGTATTATCATCTGATGTGCTGCTCATATTTAATTGTCACTGATTTTCTTGAATAACACACTCCTTCCATTCTGTAGCTGTCCTCACTCCCAACCTAGGACCACATATTGTATTGCCCTGTCATACCTCTTTCTTCTCCTTTAATCTGAAGCACTTCTTTTAACCTTACTTTGCCCTTGGATGACATTGATGTTTTGAAGAGTTTAGGCCAGTCGTTGTTGTAGAATACATCTTAATTTATGTTTGTATGATGATTGATGAAGTCTTTACCGGAACAGCTAAAATGAGATAAGCATTATGGTTCCCCTTTTGAACATCCCACATTTTTATACCATTTTCACTCAGAATTTTTCATTAGATTTTTTGCTGATTTTCATTGGAAAGTATGAATGGAAGTAATTTGTAAACTTGTTCTTAATATTCCTAATGCCAAAACATGTTTGCATATTTATTTTCTTGAATCATACAGAAAGGGAAATAATGTTTAAAGATCTCCCATTGTTTGCTTTCACTATAGCAACATCCCTTACATCAATCTGATTAAGACCAGTTTAACTGGAAAAATGTTCGTGTCTTTCTGGAGCAAGACCTGAACATCTGTTGTTCTAACAAAATGTCTCACATATTGCAGGCACTCAAAAATATTTGTTGGAAAGAAAAATAGTTTCATTCAAAAACTGAATGCTATTTGGTTTCTGGAATTGCATGCTCTCAGGAAAATAGTCAGTATCTTCTTCAACCTTGTAAAGTATTATTAAAAAAATAAGTATGTCTTAAACAGACCATCCAAACATTACTTGATCTCAGAATCCTGGGTTGAGAGAGGTGACAGTTTGGCTGAGACTTGCTCTCTAAGCTAGTCTTCTGTCTTGTCTGGGAATGTAGTATCTAAAAGTAAAAAACATTTTACATGATGGGAGGGTGGGGTGGTAATTGTGGTATGTACACGTAACATAAAATTCAGTGGTGTTAAGTAGATTCACATGTTTAAGGACAAAATTATTATGTTTAAGGACAAATATTATGTTTAAGGACAAAATTAGCTTCACCTTCTATAACCTTCTATATATACTTATGAGAGCTATTTATTTTTAACCAATCTCCAAAACTCTTCATCTTGCAAAACAGAAACTCTATACTCATTAAACAATTTCCGGCCGAAACCGGTTTGGCTCAGTGGATGGAGCGTCGGCCTGCGGACTGAAGGGTCCCAGGTTTGATTCCGGTCGGGGGCATGTACCTTGGTTGCGGGCACATCCCTAGTGGGGGGTGTGCAGGAGGCAGCTGATCGATGTTTCTAACTCTCTATCTCTCTCCCTTCCTCTCTGTAAAAAAAAAATCAATAAAATATATTAACAAAAAAAACAATTTCCCATTGATTTTTTAATCATGTTAAAACATAAGTTGTAATTTATTACTTGAAATAACTAACATGCTACTTTTCTAAATAAGAGTTAATTAGCATGAATAATTTTTTATTGTGTTAAAATACCATTTACCAACTTAAAGTGTACAGCTCAGTAGTGTTACATACATTCACATTGTTGTGCAACCAATCCCCCAAACTTCTTTCATCTTCCAAAACTGAAACTTTCTATCCATTAAACAACTCCCCATTGCCCTCTTCCCCTTGGTAACTACGACTATTCTACTTTCTGTTCTGTAAATTTGCCACTGGAATCATACATTATTTTTAAAATATTTTTTAATTGATTTCAGAGAGAAAGAATCATTTATCAGCTGCCTCCTGCACACCCCACACTGGGGATCAAGCCCACAACCCAGGCATGTACCCTGACCAGGAATCAAACCATGATCTCCTGGTTCATAGGTTGATGCTTGACCACTGAGCAACACTGGCAGGGCTCATACAGTATTTTTCTTTTTGTGACAGGCTTATTTCACTTAGTGTATATAATGTCTTCAAGGTTCATCCATGGGGTAGCATGTCAGATTCATTCTTCTTTAAGATTGAATAATATTCCATTATATGCATGTATCACATTTTATTTATTCCTCAATGGACACTTTGATTGCTTCCATCTTTGTTGTGCATACTGCTGCTATGAATAAGGGTGTACAATATCTCTCCCAAGACCCTACTTTCTTTTTTTTCTTTTTTTAAAATATATTTTATTGATTTTTTACAGAGAGGAAGGGAGAGGGATAGAGAGTTAGAAACATCGATGAGCGAGAAACATTGATCAGCTGCCTCCTGCATGCCCCCTACTGGGGATGTGCCCACAGCCAAGGTA